TAAATGTATGCTTCTCCCCCGAATAAAGCAGAACTTCTCCGGTGAACTGTCAGCTCGGGTCCTGTCATCCTTTCAACCCTAAAAAATGTGCTCTGCAGATTCTGATTGCAGGATGGGCTTGACCCCTTGGGCTGCAGCTGGAAGGATGACATCCATCACAGTGGGAAGTGAAGCTGCACTGCAGTGTCACCCAAGGTTTATTTTAAAGCTATAATAACTAAGACAAGGTAATACAAGTGTAAGGAGAGACAACTGGATCAAAATAACAGAAAAGAGACCCTAGTAACATACTCATTCACATACAGATATTCAACTCATGACAGAGGTAGCACTGTGAGCAAAAGGAAAGGACTGACTTTTCAGTAAATGGTGCTGGGACAATTGGATATCCACGTGGGAAAATACTCATATCACACTAAAAAATCAATCAACTCTAGGTGTATTAGACTAAATGTGAAAAGCAAAACTATACATCCATAAGATGATATACGAGAATAACTTTACAACTTGTTACTAGGGCAAGATTTCATAACACACAAAGAGGACTAACTATAAAGGAAAAGACCAAATGAGTACATCTCTTCATTAAAATTAGGTTGGTTCTTCTCTTCATAAAAAGAAACTATAGGAAAATGGAAAAGATAGACCACAGAATGGAAGAAGAAATTTGCCAACACATATAACTGTCAAATGGCTCATGTCCAGATTATATAAATAACTCTCAAAAATCACTAAGACAATCTGATAGAAAAATGGACAAAAGATACATAAACACACCAAAAAAGACAAATATCCAGTAAACAAAGGAAATAATGCTTAAATTCATTAGTACTCAGGGAAATAAACATTAAAACCACAATAATAGCTTTATACTAGCAAAAAGGATGCAGAAAAGTGATAACTTTCATACATTGCTGGTGGGAGTATAAATTGGTACAATCATTTTGGAAAATAGTTTGGCACTGTCTTCTAAAGTTGAAGATAAGACATTCCCTACCAGAGTTCCACCCTATACAACTCCAGAGTCTCCACTGACATCAGTACGTATAGAAATGGTACTGTCTCAAGTTGTACACTACTGTGGATAGCCTGTGTGGCTGTACACAGAAGTGCTTTCCCCATAAGTCAGCAATTTTAGTTCTGGATATGTACTATAGAAAACTTGCACACAAGTGTACAAGAATGCACGTTTGTAGTAGCACTGTTCACAAAAGCTAAGAACTGGAAACAACCCAAATGTCAATCCCCCAGTAGAACAGACAAACAAATTATGGAATAATCATAGATGGAATACTAAATAGCAATGAAAACAAATGATCTAGACCCAACACACAACAACATGGACGTATAGTACAAACATAACAATGAACAAAAGAAGAAATATTAAAAAGAACATACACAATATGATTCCACTTTTATAAAAAAAGGGCAAAACTAAACTATATTGGTTTAGGCATACATACAAAAAGGACAAAACTGTTTTTAAAAAACCAAGGAAGTGATTAATATAAAAGTCAGGTTAATAGTGACCGCCAGGGGAAGGAACACATGGTGAGTGGGAAGGCCTTTTGGAGTGCCGGAGATGTTCTATTTCTGGGGTATTACATGGGTGTTCACTTTATAATCATTCATTATACTTGACACTTACGATTTTTACCATTTTAAGCATACATATTTTACAATAAAAAAAAAGTTAGTGAAATAAATAAGGAAAAGAAATGCCTAGTAACTATTAAATAAAAGAAAGGACAAAATTACATTCAAGGCAATAAGCATGAGTAAATAAGAGGGATATTAATCAGAATATATATCAACTATGAATTTATATGTACTTAGAAAATAGGCTCAAAATGTAAAATTTGACAAATCCATAGAAAGATTTCATATGTCCCAGGAATTGACAAATCAAGTAGACAAAAAAAATTTATAGAAATATAGTAGATTTAAACAACACAATAGCAATGTTTATATAATGGAGATTCGACTTTTTATTTATTTATTTTTTTTTTTATTTTTTTAATGGGATCCGAACCCAGGGCCTTGGTGTTATCAGCACCGCACTCTCCCGAGTGAGCCACGGGCCAGCCCAAGATTCGACTTTTTAAAGAGCACATATGGAACATGTATAAAAACTCATTACATTTGAAGTCACAGAGTCTCAACAAATTCCAAAGACTCAATATGAAAAAGACCATGTTCTCTGACTACAATGCAATAAAATTAGGAAAACATAATAATAAAAAGACAACACAAGAAACCCTACATCATTTTCAGACTTAAAAATCACTCTTCTAAACTTCCACTTCTATCCAGGACGGAGTAAGAGAAACCAAATTTACCCTTCTGCCTTTAATCAAAACCAAATCAAAACAAAAATCAGACAAAATAACATAAAGCAAGAGTTTTCAAGACAATGGACATGAGGCATATATTCATACAAAGACTTGAACATGAATGTTCATAGCAGTTTTATTTGTAGTAGTCAAAATTTGATAATAATCCAAATTTCCATCATCAGATGAATGGACAAACTGTAGTATATATTCATGTAATGGAATACTACACAGTAATAAAAAGGAATAAACTGTTAATACATGCAACAACATGCAAAAATCTTAAAATAATTATGCTGAGTGAAAGATGCCAGACAAAAAACATATTATATTATTCCATTTATATAAAATGGAACATATTATATGATCCCATTTATATAAAATCCTATAAAATGCAAACTAATCTATAGTGATGGAAAGCACATCAACTGTTGCCTAGCAATAAGGGAGGGGAAGAATTACCAAGGACAAAGAGAAAGCTTTTGGAGTAATAAGTATGTCTATTATCTTGATTGTGGTGATGGTTCCGCAGGTGTATATGTATAAGAACTTATGAAATTATATACTTTAAATATAAAGTTATTATATGTCAGTCACATTAATAAAATTACTTTAAAAATCATTTTTATATTTTAAATATTTATATTTAAATATTGCTAAACAAAGATTGTAGTACTTTTATTCTTTATATTTTAAATAATTAAAATTGGATAAAAGTAGATCCAATAAGAAGGGCCTAAAGCTATTCCTATTCGTTGCACTGTCCTCAGTGACTCTTAAGGCACCTCCAAAAAACCCCTAGGACTCTGAAGAGGAGTTTGAAAACTTCTGTTTTATTTTTTTATTTTTTATTTTATTTTTTAAAAGATGACCGGTAAGGGGATCTTAACCCTTGACTTGGTGTTGTCAGCACCACACTCAGCCAGTGAGCGAACCGGCCATCCCTATATGGGATCCGAACCTCCCTTAAGAAAATCAGACTGAATTATGAGTAGAGAGAACAAGTAGAAGGCAACAAGAATAGTACTCATGTGAAATGCATCAAGGGTGAACCAGTTACCCAAGAAAGGCTCAGCCTAGGAAGAGAATATGACTCATTATGTGTAATACAAATAAGTCACTGAGGACACTTATGTTTGGAAATTCTGTAGAAAAATTTTATTTGATATCTCTTGTCATAAAAAGTGCATTACAATAAGTTTGCAAAAAAGACACTTTTTTAAATGAGGAACTTCTATCTACTCATCTGTTACCCCATGATTCATTTCCTACCCTAACATAATGATAAAACATTTTTTTCTTCCTTTTTTCTTCTCGCTTTGAAGGGCAACTGCCATGAGGGATATTTTAATAGAATGTGCCAAATAATCCTTGTCAGAAAAGAAGTAGCTTCTTACTGGCTGGACTTAGAGAGCCACTGGCATTCTTTTAACCCTGACCCAAAGGTTACTAAACCCTGAACTTAAATGCAACCTATTACTTGCAATCTCTCTTCCTGTGTTTCTCTTTTACTCACGAACTCTACTTTAAAACAACCTTAAACTTTAAGCACTTAAGAATTGCTTAAGAAATGAGTAAGAGATCTGAAGTTAATTTACTACTTTAATTAACTTAGCAATTATTTACTGTATAAGAATCTCAAAGTTAACAAAAATTATATGAAAGGAGAATGACCCTTGTCTCAAAATAAGATCAATTCTACAAAACACTTAGAATGTTAAGAATACAATTTACACAGTAAAAATGATTTGATTTGTTTTCAGTATGAAAGTACTTTTAATTTCTTTACTGCAGGTACAATGGCATCCAAGTCATCAATTTCTGTAATAGAAAAATAAGAAAAATAAAGGAGAGTAACTTTTTCTAGTGATAAGCTTAGATGAAATGAGAACCTCCATGCAAAGCAAACCTCAAACATAAAGGCAACACTACTGGTGCTTTCATGCACATTAAGTTTTTCTCCAATAGTGGTGGATAGATTATCACTGATTCAGACAAAATGTTTTACAGAGCATCTGTTTATAAAAGATACCACATACCTAAAATACCCTCTGATTCTGGTATTAACCTTACTAGCAGTGTGCTCTTACTAACAGATCCACCTGGCCACATTTATATGTTAATACCTCTTTAGATCTGAATTTCTTCTCTATAACACAATCCTGTCCTCTTTAATTGTCTTGGTAAGATCTTTTATTAGTAGGATCACTCATAGGTCTACGTTTTAGGATGAAAGGTATTTGACTAATAAAAGGTGTGAGGCTCCACAAAGTTCAAATCTCAGATGTAATATAGAGTTTACCCTGGTCTAACTTTCCAGATAAATCAGTTCAGGTTCTCCTTTGACAGTTTCTTTCTGAATTTGATTTTTCTTTCTAAAACTGTCTTATTCCAGGGCCGACCCGTGGCTCACTTGGGAGAGTGTGGTGCTGATAACACCAAGGCCACGGGTTTGGATCCCTATATAGAGATGGCCGGTTAACTCAATTTGGAGAGCGTGGTGCTGACAACACCAAGTCAAGGGTTAAGATCCCCTTACCGGTCATCTTTAGAGAAAACTAAAAATAAATAAATAATAAATAAATAAATAAAACTGTCTTATTCCAACCAACCTAAGTTAGGACTCACTCTCTAAAGCTCCTGGACACTGAGCAAGCAAAGTCCTTTCTCTTATTATCCAGAACACAACCTTACTTAAGGTAAGCCCCAATGGCAGGTTTTCTATATACCCACTACTTTTTTCTAACTTATTTCACTAGGCCATTGTTCATAAACTCATTTCCTTTAAATAAAACATGCTTCCTTGGATTCCAACTCTCTCTACATTGTTTAGCTGGATTTTGGTTGCTCTTCCTTTAACCTGACACATGACCCATGCTGTCCCCTACTCATTTAGTTCTTGAAGCTCCTGATTTCAGTCAGAATACTTGTCTGGAACCATTTAATGCAGCATCAAAATATGGGAAAAGAAACAATATAAACAAACTTACAATGGAGAATTTGGTTTATGCCTTACATTGTAAGGTACAAGATCAAGTTTAATCCCTGACTCTTCATTCTGAAATCACACCTGTTTTCTCACTAAATGAGAAACCTGCTTTATAAATGAACCTCACAGGGAAGGACCTTGGCTGACATGAGAATTCTCAGCCAATCACACCACTTATATGAGAAAAAGAAAGGAAATGTTTTTAAAAAAATCTCAATTATCATTAAAGATAGTCTCCATATCTGATATTCAGTTAGTACTCCATACCCAGGTACTTAATAATAAGTATATCTAGTAATAAAAAGACAGTCATGTTTGCCAAACCAATATAACTTTCCCAATGTTATACATAATACTTAACTCCAGAATTTCAACTTTGACCAAAATACAGAACTCATCTACAGAGAAATTGGCTTTCTGAAACAAATGATCTTATATGAACCATGCTGAGTATCATAATATCTGAGAGGAAGTTTCTATAGGATTCTGAAATAAGTGTTACCAGCACCCCTATTGTTTATTAATGTGCCAAATATCTACTAATGATGAGAATGTTGCTGTTTAAGTTAATGGCCATCCCAAAGCAAGTAGAATCATCTTATTCCATGAATCAGGCTCTTTAGGATACGAGGCAACACACAGAGAATTTCATGCCTCATCTTAAGTTTATTTTTCATATTACATTTTCACTTGCTATGATCTTTTCAAACACATGAGCACGCGTAAAGCATGCTCACTCACTGTCTCCCTTGCTTCTATCCACATTGTTTCCTTTATGTTCACTAGGCTATATGCTCCAGTCAGACACTTCTTTCATTTATTCATCTTCTTACCAAGTTTTAATTTACTCATTCCCTTATTTTCCTAGCAAGCCTCTTTTCCTCTTCTAAAATCAAGGAGCCATTCTTTTAAAAAAATCTTTCAAATGAGCTATACAGAAAAAAAGAATTCATTAATGAATAAATCACTTTAAACTTTAAAAATTGTTCTAAATAGTAAGATAAATTAATTTTATAGCCATATAGAGTTACATTTAAAATAAACAGGGCTTCTATTCTGCCTATGATTCCTAAACAAATTATATTTTTTCTTTTTAAGAGATACTGCTACTAATGAAGCCCTCAATCTGACTAACAGTGTAAGTATAATGCTCCATCTCTTCCTTTCTATAGATGTTTACTACTTTACATTACTTCACATCACCTAAGAAGAAAATATTATTTGCATATACACAGTAAGTAGCTGCTATCTTAAGAAAAAAAAAAAAAAGGATCATAAATTCTATGGGATTTCTCATTAAGCAATGACAGAGCCAGAGTAATCCCATTTCTCATGATAAGTGCTCAAAACAAAGGCAGTACCTATCTTCTTAAAGGGTCTGTGCTCCTCTGTTCCATGGACTAATGCCAACCAACTCTAACTGCAAGTTAGGAGTGTGTTTCCAGAACTTTTAGTGGTTTCCAGACTCTTTCTACCAAACACTCTAGGTAAAAATACTAATCCAGTGACTGAAGAGCCCTCTTCTCTCAAACCTGCTGACATCCCAAGACTCAAAATTTAACCACCACCAACAGAGATCTTACCTAAGATTTCAAGAAGATCATTAGTAAATGCTTGAAATGCTGGGAAAAATTCCTCATGTTCTTCCAATTTGCTGATAATGCTGTTTTAAAAAATTCACAGTTTACACCGAATTTCCAACTTAGGGTTCTTGCATCTGATTACTAACAGGTGGTTGCAAACAGAACATTTTCAAAATGAAAAGAAACTATCCTGCTAATTTAAACATAAACTTAATGATCATTTACTATAATCCTTCCTTTTTGAGCCCTTTGTTCATCTAATGTCACTTTTCTAGAAAAAAAAAAGCATCTCATAGATTATCAGTGTAAACATTTGTTAAATTATATAACAATCCTAACACGGCAAACTTCCCACTTACCTCAAGGCTTCTTAGACAGACCATGCTTTTAATAGCATTTTCTAAAAATAGTAGGCTTTTATACCCAGTATCCTCTTAAACATTAAGTATCAGTAGTCAATAAAACTTTGGGAAAGGGGAACAGACCAACAGTGGGATATATGTTTCTTTTAAAAGCATCAAACAACAGAAGACTCAAGTGTCTCAACTATGTAAGGGTTCTTCTCAGAAAATTGCAGGACATGTGAAGTATGTGGAATAAACTTATGTTTCCCTTCACATATGTTGTGGTATAAAATTGGGGGTGGGGAAAGTTGCTTTAAGTACAACTGCAATGTCTCAATATTTTTTTAAAACACCAAGTTTTATGTTAGGGATGCCTAGTCTTTTTAAAAATCCTTAACATTTATCTTCTAATCAAATAATAAATATACTGTTAGTGATTATTCAGTGTTCTATGGTAGTATCCTAAAAATAGGATTTGATATAACCTGAACTCACATGAAATTGATAATGTTTGAATTTATCCATATATAATTTTCCCTGGTAACAGGTTTATGCTGAAGAATTCCTGACCCACCCTATGTAAACTTATAGGCCCTACACTCTATTTTTATCTCAGCATTTTCTCCATCCCCTAAGGGCATGAAATTATTTTAGGTTGTCAAGTTATTTATAAAAGGAGCTATTCTAAATAGGGAAGGTAAATAACTTATGTAGTTTTGAAAGTCTAATTTCACCCCTCCAAGCATTTTGGATGACACTTTGTAAACTTTTCAAACAAATACCTTTGGAGGTCTTTAGGTCCTAATACCTTCTTAACCTGCTCATTCAAATCCTCACTAATCAGCCTACACAATTTTCCAACTGTGCTTACCAGCACACACAATGAAGATGAACTATCTGCAAAAGAGAAATAAAAAGATAGGATACTTTAAAAGAAAACTCCCAAAATCATTATATCCATCAAACGTTTTATGCTTCAGTTATTCTTAATTATTTATTTATTTTTTTAAAAGATGATCGGTAAGGGGATCTTAACCCTTGACTTGGTGTTGTCAGCACCACACTCACCCAGTGAGCAAACCGGCCATCCGTATATGGGATCCGAACTCGTGGCCTTGGTGTTATCAGCACCGCACTCTCCTGAGTGAGCCACAGGCCGGACCCTATTCTTAATTTTTTTAACTTAAAAAAATTTTAACTACTTTTTATTGATTTAATTGGAATAATTCTTAAATGGGGACCAATAATGACAAAGGGTCATCACCTAATTCTAAGAGTTCTCGGAGGTTTCTCACAGCATTGTTCATTTCTCCAAGCCTAGTATAAACTTCATTCATTCGGGGATAGACTCCATTTAAAGAAGGCACATCAAATAATTTCTGGAAGTGCGAGACAATAGCTTGCAAAGTTTGAAAGTTTGGCACATCACTGTCCTGTCCAAAAGAGATGGTGATAAAGAAAGACAGTTCACATCTTAAAAATAATCTCAAATCTTTAATAAAAAACCTTAAAAAGAGAAATAGAGCCTCAGTGGAATATTAATATCTATATAAAATTATCAATTTTAAGAGAAGAGTATATTAAGATGTAAACATTTATATAAGTATTACCTTTTCCTTATTTTCAACTTCTTCCAACATGGTATCTACTATAAACAAAAGATCTTCAACTTTGATACCTTCATTTTCATTCTGCTTCTTTAAGTTATGCCAAGGTACCAGTTCCGCAGATAGTATTCTCAAGGACTTATACAAATCCTTTATAATAAAAGAAACTACATGGTATTATTGATTTAAATAGTTTCTACAGTAACACTAATAAAATATAATTATCCAGACAGGTTTAAATATACATATCTATATGTAACCATCATCAGTATTTTTAAAAAAATACTATTACCCATTTAGAACAAGTCTGTTAAAATTAAGTTTCTCTAGGTCTTTCAAATACAGGCCTCACAAAAAAATTACATTTTGATTATCCTAAATCTGGATGCTCTAAATAATTATATGTTGTTTATTATTATTATGTTATCTACGTAATTATTTTGAATTATTGATAAAGAATAAGCTTGTCCTTATATTTTGGTTTTGAATTATTTATAACAGCTTTATTGAGGTGTAATTCAAATACCATAAAATTCACCCTCATTAAGTATATAATTCAGTAGTTTTAATATTTTCACAGAGATGTTCAAATATCACCATTATCTAATTTCAGAACATATTCATCATCTCAAAAAGGAATCCCCTAAAAACAAAAGGAGCTTTTTTTTTAAAAAAAGAAAGAAAGAAATCCCCTACCCACTCACAGTCTTTCCCCATTCTACCCTCCCTGCAGCCTCTGGTAACCACTAATCTACTTTCTATTTCCACATAAATGCAATTATATAGTAAGTATAATTTTTTTTTTTTTGGCAGCCAGCTGGTACGGAGATCCAGACCCATGACCTTGATGTTATAAGGCTGTGCTCTACACCACTGAACTAACAGGCCAGCCCCTACTGTAAGTGGCCTTTGTAACTGGATTCTTTCACTCAGCATGTTTTTGAGATTCATCCCTGTTGTAACATGTATCCCCAGGCAGACTTTTAATGTGAAAGGATCCCTAAACTAATCCTACTTAATCTTCCTAACAGCCTACTTAGTTTTGTTGGCTTAGACATGTTACCCTAATCTATTTTTAACTGTGCACAAGAGGCAAGGCTACTGGAAGCTGAGAGCTTTAAAACTGATCAATCGACAAATATTTACTAAAAATCTACTATGTGCATGGCAGTGCTTTCCCCTTTATAATGCTGTCCAAAGAAATGTAATATGGACCCACAGTAATTTTAAATTGTTTAGTGGCCACATTATGGAAAGTAAAAAGAAACAGGTGCATTAACTTTAATAATATATTTTATTTAACCCCATATATCCAAAATATAATTTCAATACGTAATCAATATTTTAATTCCCTCCCCCCATACTATGTCTTCTAAATCTAGTGTTATTTTACACTTACAGTACCTCTCAATTGGGACTAGCCACATTTCAAGTGATCTATAGCCATAGGTGGCTAGTGGCTACTGTATTGGACAGCATAACTCTAGAATACAGAAAGAAGTACAAGAAATCCCTCCTTTTTCTAACTTTTTATTTTTGTCCTCCACATATTTAACCCTTTCTAATTAAGACCCAGATTTCATATACCAATGTCTTTAACCTGTCATTTAGTAGGAAGGCAGTTACCTATTTTAGCAATTCAGGGCAATAAATTCAGTTATCATATTAATGTTTTAAACAGTAAGTGCCACTAGAATTTGAAAAAAAGTTAGCAAGTAGCAAGATAATGATACCTTTATTAGCCAATGCTCCATCGACAGGGCACATTTATAAAGTAGTCTGTGGTAAAAAAGCACACCCAGTCTTCTAGATTTTTGCTTGAGAGTAAGAGTATTACAAAAGATGTTCTGATTCCCTCAGCAATGACAGGATGGTTGTAGCACAGTAAGTTCAGTATCATTTAAAATGTTCATAATGTTGTACGACCTTACTACCATCCATCTC